TTGTACCCAGTAGTTAATAGTCTTATAAAAAATTTATCTGTCTGGACCTTTGGAAGTACTTATCAGGATCATATTTTTAACTCGATACTGTTTCCCAGGTGACTTTTAGAAAAGTTGAATGACAATAACTGTACAGTTTTCTTAATAACCCGTCCCTAACTACTTACTAGTAGTATGAAGTAATAAGACAAATTATTCTGAAACTACTAATTTCTCACTATTTCAAACATAATTTACTTACAAATAAACTTTATTAATGAAGCTTCAGTTCATTAGTATGATGATTGTTTTATCCAGTTCAATACTTATATATCTGTACAATGAATCGTAATCCAAAAGGCAATTAATAGGGATAGTTAATAATCACAAGAAATATAACATACACACCGGACAAATAGTATTCTTATTTTTACAAATGAATTTACTACATCACTATAAAATATGTTCAGTCAAGTATAGTTGGTATTTGTGTAAACCTTTGCAAAACAACACTTGTAACTTTCTGTTGGAAACTACTTCTCGTTTAAAATGTTTATTCGGAGAACTTAAATGCAAAAGATTTCTGAAGTAAAGTATCCATTGGGAATAATAAATTTGGTCTATGTATCTAAAGGACAATTCGATTGTTCAAATATCGAGGATATTTTAATGGACGTCAAACGTTAATATTCGTGTTGCTTAATAGGCAGTTCTGCTAAGTATTAACAGATATCCCTTTTCTCTATTAAATAGCACAACGGAAGTCTGTATAATTTTAGTAGCCTTACATTTTCTAGGCTAGACGGCTCAATTATTAAGCTTACACTATTTAGAACGACCATCCATAAATGCATATCCATAGCCCAAAATGAAATCTAATTAGTATTTACAAGTTTATAAACTATTAATCAAAATTATACGTTTTTAACCACCTAGACAATGTTCGATGTGTACATTGTCTAATTTAAACCATTTACTGAGCTTAATCGACTATCAATAATTGACGTCAATAGAAATTTGTATAACATCTAGCTTGTTGAAATTACAGGAACCGTCTTCTCACAAAAATAAAGTAATATATAAAAATAATAAGTCTTCAAACAGTTGAATTCACGAGCCAATCAAAGCTAGACCACCTCTGAAGACCCTAAATCACTGTACGGCCGTTTCGTCTATTACAGGACTCCTTAGTAGTGCGCACGAAAGCTTAACCTCTAGACCACTGAAGCGGCATCCAATGATGTTAATGTCTACCCTCAATCGATCCATGATAATAAGTCATTTTGGACCATATCATCATGAATTCCTATTTCATCCAATCTCCAATCTTTTCATCCCTGAAATGGAACTAATTTGTGATTATTTGATGAATCAAAACTAATTAGATGTTCAGCACTGTTATTGCTTTCTTATAATACATCCCAGACGAAAGAAATTGGGTAATCAGTTTTAAAATGCTATATCCCACATTCGCTTGTCTTCCTGTGTATTGTGTCGTGCTACTTAATAATAATAAGTAGTTTGATGTCTTTTAGACATTTTCATAAGTATTTTTTGACTAGTCATGTTCAATTTCTTCACGCAAAATACAATTAAAAACTTGCTTAATTATAAGGTGGTTCCACACTTTCGTTTTTGTTAGTCACTGAACATCTGACTTGATACCATCCTAGATATTATTCTGACTCATAGTACTTGCTGAAATGGACTTAACCGACTGTGTTCACAGTGTGAAATTTCTTAATGAGACTACGATCTTTAATTACGATTTTTAACCTAGTTACTTTCACTAAAACGTCACCAAAGGTAAGGGAAGCTGAGAATTAGGTTAAATCAAACATTGATACACAACAGACATCCAATAAATAATAATGACTTTATTCGATATTATTGGTTTGATACACCGATAGGAAAGGTGTAGTGTGCTGAAACCTACTGCGTTTCTGACACCTAGAAAGCTTGCCTACATTATCCTACAATTTATAAGTACATCCAATGGCCTTGTTTTGAAAATAATCTGTCATCATTAGAATACACTATACAACCAAAGTTATCGGTATTGAAAAACATTCATGTCATACTAAAGACGTAAACAACATGTAAACGATTGCCTCACAATCCACCACATCTACCAATTTACATATGGGTGTAAAAATAATAAGGTTGGGAGAAGCAGTCCTGCCTTATGAATAATAGTGGTTGAATATAAACTGAAATATCTATGAGAACAAATGAAGTCTAGTGACCAAATAAAACCAAATGTTAATTCCTATCTTCCACTAGTCTCCAGCTCATAGCCGAAACAAGTCAAAAGACTGATCGACACTTAGTCTTTTGTGTTTATACAGAAAAACTGTCTTGAGCGAATATTTCAACCCTAGTGCTATTAATTTTTATTTTAATGGCCAAAGTGGCGTGGTATTTTTATTTTATTGTTTACTCTGTTCTTATGTGCTAATTTATGTGGTTTTCTCTTTGTTTGACATATATCTTGTCAAGTTAAAGGATGATCAGTTCCTTTAAAATATATTTTGTTTTAATATTGTACATGATTCTGATAAACTTTGTATATTGATTGCACCACTTAGACTAAATATATGTTTCATTTTATCGCGGAACACCTTACAGAATTCACTAAGTTGTTATAGGGTTTCCGTGAGGTAACTAATATTCTTAGTCCCTAGTTGACTTTGCACAACGTATTTGTTACTACATATTAGTAAATTATATCCATAAATCACTACACTCATTTTGTATTACTTGCTTTCGTAATTATCCGCTAATCGACATGAAGGTATGGCGGTAATTCGGAGTTAATTCAATTGGTTTAAAAGTGGATTACTGTTACATCCTATATAGATTAAATGAATGGTAACTCCTAGAAATTATTTATGGACTTATATATACTCACAGCCATTTCCGGCTTGATGATGTGTAATTCTTATTTCTCATCTCATGATATAATACGACCTCACCTTCTTGTTTTGTCACGTGATATTAGACAAGGCCATAAGATATAACAATTAGTTAGTACGTTACTTATCCACCGTGACTTTGAACTTTTGAGGTTTCACATATTTCTACATGAAGTAAATCACACAAAAAGAAGAAATCTAGAGTGATTCATAATTTTGGCGCTTTATGTAATTGATATCGATTGGTTAGTATATCTTATATCTACAGAGGTGCTCCAGTTTACTGACCCGGAGTTTTATTCAATAACTTCACTTATGACTTTAGGTAGCTTTCATACTTTTTTCCCACATCTTTCTAAACCTTAATTAAAAGAAGTTTCTATTTTCTGCTGACATTAGGTCAATCAAAAGTGAGTAAAGATCATAGTGACTACAAAATCATAAGTATTTCGGTTCTCATTTGAATGGGACTATCTGCCTATCGTAAAAAACTCTTCGTAGTATATATTTGAATGAAAATCCCTATCACTAGCCATATTACCAAGGTTTGTTTGTCTCTAATTAAAAATACAGACTAAAGTATTCATTCATAACAACGATCTTAAATCGTCTCTTGCTTAGAAAACTACTTGAAATACTTTTGATTTCATTATCTGAAATTAGGATATTTTATTGCAGTTTTTCAGATCCGTTAAAAATATCAATAGTGTGATAAGATTACTATACTCTAACAAAGCATGTCCGACTACATTGATTCATATTATCAGATCGTAGAAGACCAATTTATCTTAATATCATTTATCACTGTTTAAGTTCTAGAATAAAGGTTATTGAAATGAGTATTTATATATCATTATTTGAATCATTTAGTATAGCCATATCAAAAATACACTGTAATGAATAATGTAAAACAAAAATAAATAAATTGAAAAATGTCGAATAATCGCTTTTTATCGCTAGAGTATGTTTCATTACAACAAAGAGTTTTAAACCACAAGTGAGAAATTTTAATCTTAAATGCAATTGACTTGTTGATATACAGTCGTTCACTAATATTAATATTCATCATCAAAATTTTATCATTAGTTAAGTCCCTATATCATTTTATCCATTGGATGATAGAATTTGTGCATGAACTCCTGAAAGACAGTGGAGTGCAAAAATAAATAAGATACTGTGATGAGTCCGCTTTTGGTTTTACTGTAGTTACCTTGGTAAAAAACTATGAGGATAGCTGGAAAATAGGTAATTTAGAAGTTAATTTCTGGTTAGCTCAAATATTACCGTAGATTTTGAATAGTTGTACCGTATGAAGTTATTTTGATGGTTTTCAAAACTTACCAAGAGGATAATCAAAGTCAGTTAGGGAAGAGTATAATTTATGAACAAACCAATGAGATTAAGGATATCAAGTGTTTGATTTGGGCGCGAAATTCATTCATCCATATTGTTAAGTAGCATTTTGGGATTACAGCTGATATCAGTTCATGGTGAAAACCCTTACTTTAATTCATAACCTTAAATTCTAACTCTAAATCCTAATCTTATTTCCTCATATTAATTTCTAGTCCTTTTTTGACTATGTTAAGTACGTAAGTTGTCTCAATATCACCTTAGCGTTGCTCAAAGGTCATCCATAAATTAAAGTCCCATTGTCTGTTACTCCTTTGTTGTATTTACTGCATCAGAGAATATTAACTTTAGGAGACATATATGCTAACAAAAGAACATTGTATTGCTAAACTAATCTTGCGACCAAAACAATAACAAAAATGACAGCTTGAAATATCTTTACCATATTACAATGCTTTTTGAGAAAATTAATCACCAAACTCCATATTTAGCATCAACTATTCAAGTCTAGTTTTATTGATTACAGTCACCCAATCACATTCAAGATTTGGTGACCTTGTTAAAGTTTGCGATATTATTTGACTCTATACTGATTTTCTATTGGTTACCTGAGGCAGTAAGGTCATACTACTGGCCTCGCCCAGCGATTGATAAATCTTGAGCCTTAAGACAATTACAAATAATTTTCAGGCTATCTAAAATGTCTATTTAGCAGGTACACTAGCTTCATGAGAGTTGGAGAACATCTCTGAAATGGTAGAGCCATCAACAGCATACATTACAGCTAACAATTTACCTCCAGAAATTTTATTGCGTGTCTTCAATTATCTCGATACTGGTGATTTAATTAATTGTATTTTTGTATGTTCTACTTGGAGACAAACAGCGCTTGACAATTGTTTGTGGCAAAGAAAGTTGGTAACAATTTTAAAAACTAAATGGTCTACTCTTATATGTGATTCTAAGCCCGAATATGCTCCGGATCTACAAAAGTTACAAACAATTCATCCTTACAAAATATATCACTTCCTTAAGAAATATGTTCCTCAACACTTACTTGATGACCAGAAAGAAGCATCAAAAGTTCAACTTTTGATTAATGGGATTAATCAACTTAGTCTTGCTTCGACTCCACCTGATGGTCAATCAACTAGTCCTTTATCATTCTGTGAATTATTTTGGAGATGGTGGAGTAATTTTAGACGTAGATTGTCTATCTACCATGCTTCACGTTCGAATGACATAAGTCGTCAACGTTGTCGATTTGCAGTATTTGGACCGGGTTTTGACCAGAGAGCTACAAGTTGCTTGTTTAGTAAATTGGTTGATGTAAAAACTAAATCATTTGAACCATTAAATATGATACCAGGTCGAATGGGCTTTGGTGCTGGACTTACACTTCGGCTGCATAATCAAGCTCAAATGGCAGCATTAGATTCTTCTGTATATTTTTCTGACAAAACATTTAAACATTCAAAAAATGATTGCAAAAAATCTATTCCGAAAGACACATATATAAACAATTCACAAGCTATTAATTGCTTAAACGATTTCATATTTGATTTACATTATCTTTATTCTTTAAGTGGACATTTAAGTCATAAGTTCAATAGTCAGCTGGAGCGAATTCATGCCAGTCGTCTTTTTACTTATTCAAATGATGTAAATATCTCAACTATTCATTCATCATCCTTGAATAGATTAATTGTAAGTAATGAAATGAAATGTTTACTACACGATATTTGTGGAATAATTTACGCTCTTGATGCTAGAGAAACAACTGAACAATCTATTTACTTATATACCGAACTAAAAACTGTATTAAAAGGTTTTCCTAATGAAATAGCACATAAAGTACCGATTGTCATCCTATATATTATGCCAATTGAAGATATTTTACAAAATAATGATACAGAAAATTACATTCATTCAAATTATTTGAAAGATTCTACTGGAACAAATGAAATCTATTTAAATCGTGATAGTTATAGCGGTGCAAATTACACATTTTCATGGTGTGGTTCATTATTACAACCTTTAACATGTTTACATTTATTTGAATTTCAAAATCCATGGCGTTTACAAAAATGTGCTAGTAATGATATTAAAGCAGTTATTCAAAGTTTAATGTGGTTAAAATCGAAACATCCAACTATTCATGATACAATAATTTCAACTAATATGAAACGTGCAACTTCCACAATATATTGATTTTTCATAATTAACAATAATAATTGATTATTATGATAAAGATGGTAAGAAAATTTCTATTTTTTATTGTTCTTTAAAGTGCTTGTTTTCCTTCAACAATAAGAAAAGAAAACAACAAATCAGTAAAAAAAAAAACTGAAGTTAATGTTTGTTTTCACCAATAGTCTTTCACATTTATTTCCATTTATTTTTATTGATGACTATTTTGTTTGACAAAACAGTTAAAGAGATAGAGAGAGAGAGAGAGAGAGAAAGAGAGTAGATGTAACTAAATGCTTTCTATTATTCATATCATTGTTTGTTGAGATGTCTTTGTTCTTTTTAAAAAAAAGGAAAGATAATGTTACAGAATAAATGTTTATTTATGTGTTTAATCATTTTCTTTTTTAACTAATCTGTAAGAATAGAATTCACTACTATGTACATAGGGATCATTTGTAAAATCAGATTTTCTCTCTTAGTTAAATAGATAGATAAACAATTAATCGAAATGATATATTGAGAGCAGTTTTATACAGATAATATGATATTAAGTATAATCTGAAGTTTACATTATCCTAGTGTAATATTTCGTTGTTTACAAATATAGTTTAACGGACGCTGATCAATAGTCAAAATGTTCCTGTGAAAAGATGTTACATCCTTGCAAAATAAATGAACTGTCTTTGCTTAGATTAACAATGATAGTCATAATGAACTGATGAAATTTATCGGGTTATCCGTTGCCTTTGGATTTAACGAAATCAGATATGAAACAATCGTAACTGATGATACTAAGTTATGATTACTCTACCATAACAAAGGATTGAAAATAAGCGAAATACGATATATTGTGTTTTGATTCAATCGTTTAATAGTGGATTAGGTATCATATGGAAGTAGTAAATGGTAAACGATAAAGTGTCACTAACTATGATGAAGCACTTTTCAAATTATCGCTGCTTCTGATGGTTTCCTAACCGTCATCATTTTCTGTTTTAAAAATGAAAAAATACTCCCGAAATGACCCAATTAAAGTCACTAGCGATTTATAAAGTTACTTACTTACACCTGTCACCCCTCATAGAGGAGCATGGGCCGTCCACCAGCACCTTTACGTGTGCATCAGATGCTCCTTGTTCATTGATGATGTTTCCTAGATAAGCGAACTTCGTAGATGACCTGGCCCATCTATCTCATACAAATGAACAAATGCAGGTCAATACAACCAGTGTGTCAAAAGCCTCACATTTACTCCGATCTCCTTTCTTTAATATCTTGATGAACTATCCTTCTTTCCAGTCAGTCTGTCAATGGCACTTCTTCTTTATCCCAAATCTTCCTGAATAGAACATGGAGCATGTTTGCAATTACTTGTATACCTGACTTCATTGCTTCAGCTGGTAGATTGTCAGGTCGTGCTGCTTTCGCACTCTTAATTTGTCTGATGTCCATCCTGATTTCTTCGATCGTTGGTAGAGTGATGACTGTAGGAAAATCTGTAGGTTCTACTCCGATGGCCGGTAGATTCAATGGAACTGGCCTATTCAAGAATTCATCAGAGTGTTCTACTCGCCTGTTCCAATGTTCTTAAATCTCATTGACTGACTTGCCTTATTTGTTTTTAGCTGGTCTCTCTGGTTTATTATATTTCCCTTCCAGTTTATTCGTTGTGTCATATAGTTGTTTCGTATTTCTTTCACTTGCAGTCTTTCCTACTATCGTTGCTAAGTCTTCCATGTATTTCTACTTGTAAGCTATGATGCTTCTCTTTACTCTCTTGTTTGCTTCAGTGAATATAGCTTGTACCTTCACTTTTTCTGTTCTTGTTCGACTGTTGTTAATTGCTGCCTTATCATTCTTCCTTTCTTGAATCTTGTTTAGGGTTTCGATAGAGATCCATTCATTCCGATGATGCTCGTTGAGGCCCAACACTTCGTGACACGTTGAAGTTAGTGTTTCTTTAATCCCTTTCTAGTTGCCCTCCATAGTGGTTTCTTCTTTGAGTGGATCTTGTAAGGCCTGGAACGTGTTGTTGAGAGCTATCTCGAATCCGTTGAGGTGGTCAGTATCTGGGAGGAATGCTGTATTGAACCTTAGTAATGCTGTATCTCCAGTTGTCCACTGCTTCTTTAGCTTCATATTCACCTTGGCAACCACCAGGTGATTATCTGAAGCTATGTCAGCTCCTATCTCGATCCTCACATCTTCTACTGACCTTATGAATTTTTGAGTAACCTAAGTATGATTTATCTGGTTCTCTGTGGTGCGATCTGATGAGACCCATTTAGCTTTATGTATGCGTTTGTGTGCAAATATAGTGCCACCTATAACCATTTTGTTGGATGCACGTAAAATCACAAATCTGTCACCATTCTCGTTCCTTTCTCCCAGTCCATGTTGTTCCATGCTATCTTCATACCCGGTGTTGTCCACTGCGATTTTGGCGTTTAGGTTTCCCATCAGGGTGGTCAAGTCCTTTCTTGGGAAATTCGCAACGATGGACTACAACCTCCCATAGAACGTACCTTTATCGTCGTCATTGCTATCACCGGTGGGTGCATAACACTGAATAACATTCATGATTATTCCCTCCTTCTTTGTTTTGAAGGACGCTTTGGTTATACTGTAGTACAGCAGCACCTTTCCCGAATTTATCCTTTTCTGTTCAGGTTGGGTCTAATGAGTTTAACGGATTCCGAGCACCTTCAAGTAGTATCTCTTCATTTCTGTAGCTATTTGATTGGTCCTTCCTGGTTCCTAAATTTTCCGAACATTCCATTTACTTGTATTGATTGTGGCTCCAGTTTTTAGTAGGAACATCAGCCTTATGACTTCCGAAGAATTTCGGCTTCCACCATGAAGCGTCATAATCCTTCTGAATGAAGATACTTCAACTCGTAGAGCAGAGTTTAAATGGTTTAAATTGTTTATCCCGGTGAGTGGTTTTTTAGCAAGGTTGTTTTCTATGGGATGGGATTGCTGACTCTATGACCAACCCTCCTCCTTTACCCGAGCTTGAGACCGGCAGTAAACCTAGAAGACCTACAGGCGGAGTTAATGATTTATACAGGCTTAAATAATAACTAATGGTTCACTTAAATATATGGCCATGAATGTAACAGTTATTTTTATTTTGACAGATAATTCCCATTTAAGCATTAAAACCACCAAGTTCAGTGAAGGGATTGTACAGCTTGATAATAAATTCGTGAAAAAGAAATCCCTTCACTGAACTTAATGCTTTTTTAATTTTGATAAATTAAGACACTTTGTGTTTTCCATAAAGTTTAAAATTGTTTCTTTTTTACCACATAATATTACATGTGACATTCGACTTTATATACAGCCTCCATTTTTATATTCAGTCTCCATTTCTTTATAATGAATATTATTCTCTCTTCTATATGATTTATTGTAGCTTATCTTTGGCCTACATTTGATCTTAAGAATTAAAATAACAAATAATTTATATTTTACCATACTCATATACAAAGGAAGAACGACACTATCGAAGTTCACAAAGAATAAATCATGTCTTGAAGTTTTAAAACTTACTGTTTCTGGAAAGATAAATGTCGGGTGAATCTGTACCAGTGTAATCGATTCCAAACTACGTTATTTAAATTTTCCAACTGCATTTCACAATTATCTCGCAGACACCGATTAGGAAGTCTGGACTTCTAAACATAGGTCAACTGAGCAATCAGTGATTCTACAGACTGATAACATGGTTTTGTTTAGATCTTCCATAATCTTTTTCTACTAATTCACAGTTTCTTTCAGAAAAAAACGACAGAATACAACCGTATATGATAGACACAATAATAGGTATCGTTGTTATATCCTAGTGAAGATTAAATTACGAGTAACGTCTGAGACCTATTAATGGAATAATATTATTTATATATTCTTATGGTGTAAATATCCACTAACTAGATTATGTATATCTATATTTCCCTTGTTATAAGCTTTATTTTGACCTATAAATTATTATTGTACGATTTACTGTTCTTAAGCTATGTTCAGTTTATTGACTACTGCCTCCCACGTTTACAGTCACTTTTTGGCTTTATTGTATATGAATGTTATTTCCTATTTTATGCTGCGTTGCGGTCTGTTTGGTTGATATATAAACCCAGTATGTCTGAAATAAATGATTCTCATAGTGGAGGCTGTTATTGACATTCTGGACTCAGCTAGACGGACTAGTCGAGCAAAGGACCAATAGGCCGCTAGGCTGATCAGACCGGTCGGACGTCATAGGTTTAGTACAGTATAAAAGCGAATAAGTCCTCTTTTGATTGACGAATAGATTACGTGATAACTAGCGGGCCATAAAGTCACAACAATCGTCTGTTCACTGCATGTATTCTTCCTAGCTATATTCCGACTTCATATTTTTGTCCACTTCACTTCCTACTTTCGTATAGTAAACCAGTTCGCTTCATTATCCCTACGATCATTTCAAGATCAGTTACGAGTATCGATGGTCCTAACATAAGGTTCAGTACATTAAATTGTTTTAATTCAAGCTTCTAAATATATATTCAGCTTCTTTGCTCTTGGAAGAGTTTCGTTCTTTAAACTAAACGGTTCAACCATTAGGCTTTACTGTTTCTTTGAAAATCATCTGCACAAACTCCATACAAAAGTGAGCTACAAGATTTTCCCCATACATGACCGACAGCTAGTTCTGTCGAATAAATTGATTAGCTCTAATAAATCTTGACTTTGAAGCTTTAGATGTTTCTAAAGATTTGTGTCATTGGCGGAAAGCAGAGAAAGTGTTCTTTGCTAACTTTAACTCAAGTGAAGTGATTACGGATGCAATGTTGAAGGGTACCACCAGTCCGTCATTGTCGATCTTATCCAAGGTTAAATGGGGTTATCGGATGATTTCATCAAAATGCTCCAGTGTTCTGGAAATTTCTCTTGGTAGATTGTATTTTGGGGTTAACGGGGAGTGTGATTTGTGTAGTTTTGACCTACTTAAGGCATATTTGGTCCAGTGGATTTCA